TCCTACCGACCAACCTCATCCCGCCCCCTTGACCTGTCCGTCCTCCCTGGACTGACCTATCCCCTTCCTAACTCCCTACCTACACTCACCTTTCCTGGCCCCATCCCCGCCTCTTCGACCTGTTTGTTTCCTCTCCACCTATCCTCTCCTCTATCCCTCTTCTATCCGCCTCCCACTCTCTCCCTATTTATTTCAAAACCCCCTTCCCCTCCCCCTTTTCTGATGAAGGGTCTAGGCCCGAAACGTCAGCCTCTCTGCTCCTATGATGCTGCTTGGCCTGCTGTGTTCATCCAGCCCTGCACCTTGTTGTCTTGGATGAACAGTTAGTTTCTTTTGAAGGAAAAAGATGAGCAGATCAAGCTTTTTTTCGCAGGAGATACCACAGGGCTGTTGACATTTGCTTGAACAGACTGCAGCTGCTTTAATTTAAAATCTCACTTAAGGACGTCATCGCCAAGACTACACCACTTCGCACTCCATAAGAATGCAACTCAAATGCCCTCATAGCCTTGAAATTCAATTCCTATTTGTTTCCATTTCACTTGTTCTGTTAACAGATTATCTTCACAAACTCAATGCAGACAAGATTTAGCCAAAATAAGATATTGACCTATTTCCTCCAGACTGTAATGCTCAGTCATCGGACAGGCAAAAAAATCTGCTTTGATGCCAGCTGCAGAATGGGGCACATGTTGAGAAATGAACAGGTTAAAAACATGTATCTGGCATTATACTGAGGCAAATATCGAACTTTAACAGCACCACCAAATTTGAACCAAAACTATCTGATAGAACTGCCGGCAGCTGCATCCAGCTGGTATTACACTTCAACTTCAGTTATAAAGGTAGACTGGAGAAGTTGGGACTATTTCCCTTGGAGAAGGGAAGACTGAGAGGAGATCTGACACAGGCGTTCAAAATTACAAGGGGTTTGCATAGAGCAGACAGGGTGGAATATATATTCCACAATTTTACACACAAATAAATGACGTAGCTGAGAATGGGGGAATGGGTTGTTGACAAGAACTTAGTTTGTGAATATCACCAAGATTGGCCAAATAGTTGAAAGTGACGAAGGCCCCACACCCCACCAAAGAAGGTGGTACATATATGGAACGAGCTGCCGGAAAAAGTGGTGGAGGCGGGTACAATCATGACATTTAGAAGATATATGGACAGATATACGGATTGGAAAGGTTCAGAGGGATATGGGGAAAACGCAGGCAAAAGGGACCAGTTCAGTTTAGGAAACATGGAGAATATAAATGGATTGGTCAGATGGGCAGATCAAATTTAACGCGATCAATGTGAGGTGATACACTTTAGAAGTAGTAACAAGTCAAGGGAGGACTCAACAAATGGCAGGACACTAGGGAGCTCTGAGGAACAAGGGGACATTGGACTGTTAATTCCCAACTCCCTAGAAGTAGCATGGCAGGTTAATAAGCTGATTAAAAAAGCACACGGAACACTTACCTTTATCAGTTGAGGCACAGACTATAAGACCAGGAAGGTCGTGTTGAAGCTGTACAGGACTGTTGACAGGCTATAGCTGGAGTACTGTGTCCAGTTCTGATCACCACACTATAGGAAGGTTGTGATTTCACTGAAGAGGATGCAGAAGAGATTCACCTGGATGTTGCCTGGGATGAAGGACTGTAGTTATAAAATGAGGCTGGATAAGCTGGATTTGTGCTGCTTTCTTTGAGCAGAGAATGTTAAGGGGCGAGGGTGAGAACCTGACAGAGATTATGAGGGGTATGAACAGGGTGATTATAAAGCAGCTGTTCCCCTAAGTTAAAGGATCAATAACAAGGGGTCATAATTTTAATGTGGAAAGGCAGGTGGTTTAGAGTGGTTTTGAGGAAAAATGACTTCAGCCAGAGGTGGTGAGGGTATGGAATGCACAGCTGGTGGTTGGAGGCGGGGAGCTAGTTGAGGCAGGAAATCTTACAACCTTTACAAAGTCAACATGAGCAAATGTAATGTCATAATATTCAAAACTATGTATCTAGTGTGGGAAAGTGGGGCTAGTGTAAAGTTGGAGTAGTTCTGTGCTACAGACTTGAAGGTCCAAAGGGTCTCTTCTGTATTGTACGATTCCATGATTCAAAACTGTTCTCATTCATGAAAGGATCCTGTGTGAGACCCAAATTTAAAGAAATTGGCAAAAGAAGCAGTGGCATCATGAGGAAAATCCTTTGTAAGCACTTGGCCCAGAAATTCCAATCAGAGTCAAAGATATAATCAGACATCAATGGAATCAAAAAATACGTATTTATATTTTGAATATTACATGAAATTCCTGGACAGATCCTCCTACTACAAACTTGTCCAGAAATCTACAGATTTCCTAGCAGAGAGAATCATTGCAGAATCCATCTCACTCACTTTTACAGCACTAAGTACCAAGTACTAAGTTTAAACATACACCAGAATGTTGACGATTATTCTAAAATGGTCAGTGCCCATGCGTGAGCATCCTTCTGAGAGCATGACTGCATGAGAGCATGCCTGTATATGAGTATGTTAGTGTGTGCATGTGCACGTGAGCATCAGTGAGAGTCTATGCCTGAGCATGAGTTGGTACAGGTGTGTCTGTATGGGGGTGTAAGACCATTACAGCCCTGTGTGGACGGAGCACAGCTGTTAGCTGGAGGCTAAGGAACATTAGGGGAACCAGGCGGTGTGGAAAAAGGGAGACAGCGAGAGAAATGGTGCAAGTCACTGGGGAACAGGGCTGCACAATAAAGGTGCTGGTGTGGATATGTTAGGAAGCCCCAAGGGAGGGGTGCATCAGGTGGGCCTGGGGAGGGGTGCAAATGGATGTCAGGTAGGTAAGAAGCATTTGTGCTAGGGTGCCAGTTGGTGAAGGTATGGAATGCACTGCTGGGAGGATAGTTGAGGCAGAAAACCTTACAACCTTTAAAAGGTCTAGATGGGCACTTGAAATGTCATAACATTCATGGCTACAGGTCTCGTGTGGGAAAGTGGAATTTGTGTAGACTCAGTAGTTCTGCCATATGGACTAGATGGTCCAAAGGGGGACGGGACTGTTAGAGTGCCAGGTGGATCATAAAGTCATATAGCATGAAAAAGGCCCTTTGATCCAGAGTCTCCATCGACCTATCACATTTTCCATCACTTGACCCATTATCTTGAACTTTATGACATTTCAAGTGCTCATTCACCTACTTTTTAAGGGTTGTGAGGTTTCCCACATCTACTACTCTCCCAGGCAGCATATTTCAGATCCCCACCCGCTCTTGGTGAAAAATGTTTTCCTTAAATTAACCCTTTCCAATCATCCTGCCCTTTAAAATTATGGCCCCTTGTTGTTGAGTCTTCTACAGAAGGGAACAGCTGCTTCCTATCTACTCTGTCCATGCCCCTTATAATCTTATACATTTCAATCAGATACCCCTCTGCTTTCTCTGCTCCAAAGAAAACAGCCAGAGCTTATTCAGCTACACTTCATGACTAAAGCACTGCATCCCAGGTAAAATCCTGATGAATCTTTGTTGCACTGGATAGGGTGCAATCACATCCTCGCTACTGTGCAGTGACCAAAACTGAACACAGTAATCCAGCTGTGGCCCAAAGTTTTGTATAATTCCAACATGACCCCCTTGCTCTTAAAGTCTATGTCACGACTGATAAAGGAAACTGATCTGTATACCTTAATAACAATTCACCTGTCCTGCTGCCTTCAGGGATCAGTGGAAAAACACCCAAAGATCCCCTTGCTCCTCTCAGCTTCCTATTGTCCTGCCACTCATTGAGTACTCCTTTGTTATGTTCCTTCTTCCAAATTACATCACCTCACAATTTTCAGGGTTAAAATCCATCTGTGACTCATCTGGTGAAGGGGTTGTTAGCATACTACGTGAGTGGATAAGTGTGGAGGGTACATCAGCGTGTAGGCCTGGCAGAATTCAAAACAAAGCTCTTGAAGATCAAATGTCAGTCATCCTTAACTAGTGCATTCACCATGGCACTGCCTCTACCTATCAGAGTCTGATCACCAAACAATCAGCACTCTTCTCTCATCTAGTATACACTGGTATTCTTGTGAATTATCCTGATCAATTCAAGACAAAAAGCTTCAACAAATGTATCTTTTCAGCAATGCTTAATCTCTGCGCTACCAAACAGCCCTGAAGTACTCAGTGATTATGTTAAGAAATGGTACAAGTCTGGTGCAACGACTATTCCGAAATCTGTGGCGTGACTCCAGGTGCTTGTCTCCACCATGAACTGCAGAGACTCTCCTCTGATACGATGGCTGGTGCCAGTGAACAGGATGTATTGTAGGAGTAGCTCAGGATAACATCACCATCTAGTGGCTTCACGGTAATATGACAAAGCATCACAAATTCCACCTTGAATTGATTCAGACGGTTCCCGAGACACTGAGCAGGGAACAGTTTATCGCCCTCCAGTTACAAACTGAAAGAAGCTAGTAGAGTTAGAATTTGAAGAGTGTTTTAAGCTCACGGCTTTGTAAAACAGTTTGCAAATAAGCAGATAGCTTCAAAGAAAAACAATTCAGTTATTATTTCAATGATCAACAATGAACGACAATATTTCTGCAGTAATTGGCATCAGCTCAGACAAATGAACTGTTGATGAGGTAAGGAGGGAAAACATGAGCCAAGCATTCACACTGCTGTCACGGTACCTTGATGCCAACCTGCTGCTGTGGATTGCCGCGAGATGTTTGCTTCCATGACACTGGACAGCTCACCAATCAACAGCTTGAAGAGTTTTACAAGAAGGGGAATGTTGGTCCAACGTTCTGGATCTGCTCAAACAAAGCAAATATCATGAGGACTAGATTAACAATTTCAGGCTAAGAAGGTTCATGAACACAAATTAGGGCTGTGCTGGGGTAACTGTTCACATATTAGAGCTCCCTATTTATTTACTTGCACCTTAAACAGGATGTGGAGGTACCAGTGTTGGAATGGGGTGGACAAAGTCAGAAATCACACGGCACCATGTTATAGTTCAAGTCTGATGTCACCTCACCTGATGAAGGAGCAGCAGCCTGAAAGCTTATGATTTCAAATAAGCCTGTTGACTATAACCTGGTATCATGCGATTTCTGACCTGTAAACAGAGTCAAGTTTAAAACTGACTATACATATTTCTTCACAGAAAATCTCAAAGCCCAGAAACAACTAGAACATTCACCAGAATGACTACTATCCAAAATAACCCCATCATTTGTCAGACATTAAATGTTCACATTCACCTTCTGTCAATCCGCCATCAACAAACCATAAAAACATATTCACCCATTGCATCCACTAGTTCCCACTGCCTTCTCTTTCCACAGAGGCAGACAACATTACCCATTTATTCAATTCCCTTTTGAGTGTTATTTTGTTTCCTTATGTTTCTCCTGGCTACAAAGTAATATTTGTAACACAGAACATAAGAACGAAGAGCAGGAGCAGACAATATAACCCCTCCAGCCTGCTTATTATATTGTATTTAATACAATCATGGCTGATCTCAGTTTGGCCTCAACTCCACTTTTCTGCCTGCTTTCCACAACCCTTCACCCCTTACTAATTAAAAATCCATCTCCAACTTAAATTTACTCAAAGTCCCAGCATCCACCGCATAATGGGGTAGTCAATTCCACAGATTTACAACCTTTTGAGGTTTTAAATCCACTACCCCTTATCCAAAACTATGACTTTCACATCAGATTGCCCCATGAGGAAACATCCTTTCTATGCCTACTTTGTCAATCCCCTTTGGCATCTTCCACAGCTCAGCTACATAGAATCCTTATAGTACGAAAAGATGCCATTTGGCCCATATGTCCGCTCATTCTTCTAAACTCCAGACAATATAGATCTAAACTGCTCACTCTCTCCCCAAGAAAGATCTCTCATCTCTGGAGTTAATGTAGCAAACCTGTTCTGAACTGCCTCCAATGCAACTACATCCCTCCTCAAGTAAGGGGACCAAAATCGTACGCAAAACTCTAGGTGCAGTCTCACTAATGCTTTGTACAGTTGCAGCAACACTTCCCAACTTTTACACTCCATTCCTTCATCAATAAATGCCAAAATTCCATTTGCCTTCCTTATTATTGCTACTAGTCTACTGTGATTCATGGTTGACAACACCCAGATCCCTCTGCACCAAAACATTGAAATTTCTCTCCATTTAGATAATACATTGCCTATTTTACCTCCAACCACAACAGAACATCTCATAACTAGCCACATTAAACATCGTCCTCCAAATTTTGCCCATTCACCTAACCTATCCATATCCACTTGTAAATTTCTTATTTCTTCACTACAACTTACTTTCGCACCTATTTTAGTAGCATCTGCAAATTTGGCTGCAGTACTTTCTAGGCCTGCATCCAAATCATTAATGTAGATTGTAATAGGTGAGCCAACCAGAAAAAGAACCATTTGTTCTGATTCTCGACTTGCTGTTGGTTACCCAGTTCTCCATCCAAGCTAATAAATTACTCCTAATCCCATACAATCTTACCTTTTCGGTGGCACCTTATGAAATGCCTTCTGGAAGTGCAGATATACTATACCTACAGGATTCCCATTATCTACCTTGCTTGTTATATTGTCAAAGAATTTTAGCGAATTACTCAAACATGACTAATAAAAACCTTCCATAAAATCATGCTGACTCTGATCAATTGTTGTTTTGACTTTCCAGACATCCTGTTATTACTTCTTTAATAATGGTTTCTCAATTTTCCAACCACACATTAAATGAACTGCTCTACAGTTTCCTACTTTCAACCTCCACACCCACTAACCCACCCCCCCCCCCCCCCCCCCCCCCCCCGCCTTTTTGAATAAGGGCATTATTTCAGCATTTTTCCAATCTATTGGAACTTTTCCTGCATCCAGCGAATTTTGGAATATTATAAGCAATGGATCCACTATATCTGCAGCCATTTCCTTTAAGACGCTAGGATGTAGGCAGTCAGGCCTCAGGGACTTGCTGGTCTTCAGCGGCGGGAGTCCGGGAGGAAGCGCGAGGGCAGCCTAGGAAGGTGAGCTTTTCGATTATAAAAATCTTACCTCGCGTGACTCCATTTTTGGAGTGAGTAAGTGAGGAAATATATTTGGGCGGTTGCTTTACCCGAAACACTATCTAGGTAGTGTCTCCCACCCATCCTCCTCCTCTAACCAAAAAAAAGGTTCTGAGCGCTGATTTGGTAAGGCTACTAGTAATTTTTTTTTAATTTGTCTGTTTGGGAATTCAGAACAGTGGGAATGGATGTTAGGGCAGTTGTATGCTCCTCCTGTGGAATGTGGGAGGTAAGGGTCACCATAGTGTCCCCACTGACTTCATCTGCGGGAAGTGCACCCAACTCCAGCTCCTCGGAAACCGTGTTAGGGAACTGGAGCTGGAGCTGGAGCTGGATGAACTTCGGATCATTCGGGAGGCTGAGGGGGTAATTGAGAGGAGTTACGGGGAGGTAGTCACACCTCAGGTACAGGAAAAAAGTAGATGGGTTACAGTCAGGGGACGGAAAGGGAACAGGCAGACAGTGCAGGGATCCCCTGTGGCCATTCCCCTCGAAAACAAGTATACTGTTTTGGATACTGTTGGGGGGGACGACTTACCAGGGGTAAGCCATGGGGTACAGGTCTCTGGCACAGAGTCTGTCCCTGTTGCTCAGAAGGGAAGGGGGGAGAGGAGGAGAGCATTAGTCATTGGGGACTCCATAGTTAGGGGGACAGATAGGAGATTCTGTGGGAACGAGAGAGACTCGCGGTTGGTGTGTTGCCTCCCAGGTGCCAGGGTCCGTGATGTCTCAGATCGTGTTTTCGGGATCCTTAAGGGGGAGGGGGAGCAGCCCCAAGTCGTGGTCCACATAGGCACCAACGACATAGGTAGGAAAAGGGATGGGGACGTAAGGCAGAAATTCAAGGAGCTAGGGTGGAAGCTTAGAGCTAGAACAAACAGAGTTGTTATCTCTGGTTTGTTACCCGTGCCACGTGCTAGCGAGGCGAGGAATAGGGAGAGAGAGCAGTTGAACACGTGGCCACAGGGATGGTGCAGGAGGGAGGGATTCAGATACCTGAATAATTGGGGCTCATTCTGGGGTAGGTGGGACCTCTACAAACAGGATGGTCTACACCTGAACCAGAGGGGTACCAATATCCTGGGGGGGAAATTTGCTAATGCTCTTCGGGAGGGTTTAAACTAATTCAACAGGGGGATGGGAACCTGAATTGTAGCTCCAGTGTGCAGGAGGTTGAGAGTAGTGAGGTCATAAATAAGGTTTCAAGGTCGCAGGAGTGTACCGACAGGCAAGAAGGTGGTTTGAAGTGTGTCTACTTCAATGCCAGGAGCATCCGGAATAAGGTGGGTGAACTTGCAGCATGGGTTGGTACCTGGGACTTCGATGTTGTGGCCATTTCGGAGACATGGATAGAGCGGGGACAGGAATGGTTGTTGCAGGTTCCGGGGTTTAGATGTTTCAGTAAGATCAGGGAAGGTGGTAAAAGAGGGGGAGGTGTGGCATTGTTAGTCAAGGACAGTATTACGGTGGCAGAAAGGACGTTTGATGTCAACTCATCTACTGAGGTAGTATGGGCTGAGGTTAGAACCAGGAAAGGAGAGGTCACCCTGTTGGGAGTTTTCTATAGGCCTCCGAAAAGTTCCAGAGATGTAGAGGAAAAGATTGCAAAGATGATTCTGGATAGGAGCGAAAGTAACAGGATAGTTGTTATGGGGGACTTTAACTTTCCAAATATTGACTGGAAACGCTATAGTTCGAGTACTTCAGATGGGTCAGTTTTTGTCCAATGTGTGCAGGAGGGTTTCCTGACACAGTATGTAGATAGGCCAACAAGAGGCGAGGCCACATTGGATTTGGTACTGGGTAATGAACCAGGCCAGGTGTTAGATTTGGAGGTAGGTGAGCACTTTGGTGATAGTGACCACAGTTCGGTTACGTTTACTTTAGCGATGGAAAGGGAGAGGTATATACCGCAGGGCAAGAGTTATAGCTGGGGGAAAGGCAATTATGAGGCGATGAGGCAAGATTTAGGATTCATAGGATGGAGAAGGAAACTGCAGGGGCTGGGCACAATTGAAATGTGGAGCTTGTTCAAGGAACAGTTACTGCGTGTCCTTGAGAAGTATGTACCTGTCAGGCAGGGAGGAAGTGGTTGAGCGAGGGAACCGTGGTTTAGTAAAGAAGTTGAATCTCTTGTCAAGAGGAAGAAGGAGGCTTATGTAGGGATGAGGCGTGAAGGCTCAGTGAGGGCGCTTGAGAGTTACAAGTTAGCCAGGAAGGACCTAAAGAGAGAGCTAAGAAGAGCCAGGAGGGGACATGAGAAGTCTTTAGCAGGTAGGATCAAGGAAAACCCTAAAGCTTTCTTATAGGTATGTCAGGAATAAAAGAATGACTAGAGTAAGATTGGGGCCGGTCAAGGACAGTAGTAGGAAGTTGTGCGTGGAGACCGAAGAGATAGGAGAGGTGCTAAATGAATATTTTTCGTCAGTATTCACACAGGAAAAAGACAATGTAGTCGAGGAGAATACTGAAATACAGTCTATTAGACTAGACGGGATTGAGGTTCATAAGGAGGAGGTGTTAGCAATTCTGGAAGGTGTGAAAATAGATAAGTCCCCTGGCCGGATGGGATTTATCCTAGGATTCTCTGGGAAGCTAGAGAGGAGATTGCAGAGCCTTTGGCTTTGATCTTTATGTCATCATTGTCTTCAGGAATAGTGCCAGAAGACTGGAGACTAGCAAATGTTGTCCCCTTGTTCAAGAAGGGGAGTAGA